GGGCGGAGTGGCAGCGGGCCAGAGGGCTGGAGGCGCGGTGCCGCTCGCCGGAGAGCTGGAGCGAGCAGCCGGGGAGTGCGCGGCTCCCACCCGCTCACACGGGAGGTCTAGGCCGATACATCTGCGGCTTTCTGTTGTAAAATTAGTTAAAGATCACATATTTTTACAACATCACCTATACAGAGACGTAAATAGTTCATACTGGAAATCAAAGCACTGTAAAAAAATCTGATTTAAACACTCCTAGGCAAGAACATTATCACGAGAAACTACTGGCGCTTCGCACTACTTTACTCAGATATTTTTAAGCACCGGGAAAGCTATTCCGACAGCAGCATTCATTCACAACTTCGTATTTATTGAAGTCACTGAGGAACAACGTATGTCATTGGCTCTGCATTTAAGATCGTAAATCATTGCTGCAAAAGCTGAACGCAGCTAAGCACCGCATATAACCAAGAAAATGAAAATTTAAATTCATAAGGACCAGTTTTCAACTCAAACCGTGCAGACCGTGAACTAGGCACACGTCTAGCGGCATCCCCTACGGCAACGAGCTACAGAATCAGTATCGATTTCGGTGGAGGGATTAATTCCATAGAGCTTTTTTATGGATATAGGAAAAAGACAAATGCTTCATTGATCCACAATGTTGCCTGAAAGACAGACATTACCTCGTTAGGTCTGTTAATTTAATAACTGAGTTCGGAGTATTATTTGGAAGTACGGTCACAGCAGTATATATTGAAATCGTATTTATCACATGTAACATGCGCGTGCTACGAAACGTTGCGTGCATCTCAAGGAATCCACAGGAACTGGGGCTATGCAACACTCATTTCACCTCTTGCATAGTTCAAAATGCACCAGTCCTTCCACACCTGCGAGCAGCATATAATGTATGTGACCTGGACACGTAGCCAGCATCGTGCTCCCTATACTGAGGCTGCGGAGCAGTGCATCCATTTTTCTGGAATGACACTACACGCAGTCACAAGGAAACCTCGAAGTTGTTGCAGGTCTCCTGAAATTTTTAATACCGATGAAACCCGTGGATGTCTAATAACGAGGACGTACAAAGAGTTAACCTTGCGGGTACAAATTCCCGCTTCAGCATTTAAGAGAGAGAATGGTTTAGATCAGGTCCACCGGCTACGGAAGAGGAGTATAGATACAGATCTCCGTGTGTACGGGTGGCTGTATGGATGTATGCTTACACGCCTGTGTGTAAGGAGCCCATATACCGGGCAAGCCTCACCCGCTGTTGCGGATGGCCCTGCCCCACGGTTACACGACACCTGCGCGGCCGGGCTGTGGCAGGGG